ACCCGCCCAGCCAGGGGTCCTGCCAGGGGCGCCGCGGGCACGTCTGAGGGAGGGCGGGACACCGCACCTCGCGGAGACACGGAGGCTGTGTCCACTGCCTGGCCCGCCACCGGAGGTGCAGCGCCCGGCCGACCCAGGAATGCAGGGTGGCAGCTGGACCAAGCCCGCCGGGAGTGGCCAGGCAGCCCTGGCCGGACGGAGAGCTCCAGGCAGGGGGCCCCGCTTGGCTTTGGAAGCTGCCCGGGTCCTGTCCCTCCCAGGTGGACACGCCAGGCCAGGCCAGGCCGGTGCTTGGGGCCGGATACTCGGCTCCCTCTGGTGGGAGCCTGCGCGCCCGGAGAGCATGGGGCCGGGGCGACCAGGACAGCAGACGCCTGCACAGAAGGGCTGTGTCCTGCAGGCAAGCAGGGCCGCGCGCCCCGAGCGCCGAGCGCACACAAAGCCCAGGGGGCCATTTCCAGCTCACGGCTCTCCTTTCGCAGTCGGCAGGAGCAGGGGCCGGCTCACCTGGGCGCAGGTGGCTGCTCCCCCTCAGGCCGGGCCCTGGGCTCCCCTGTCTCCCAGACCCGAAACACGCCCACCCCTGAAGGGCCAGACAGCAGGGCCCGCACCCCACCCCGGCACCCCCACCCCGGCAGCCCGGGCAGGGCAGGGCGCGGCGGCTCCTACCTGCGGCCCCCTCGGCCAGCTGGTCCTGAACAAGCGCGACGACGTCAGACACCTGGACCTGAGGGCCGCCGTCCTCCCTCCGGGCCTCATCGGGCGGCCGCGGGGGAGGACAGTCGCTGCCCCCACTGTCCCTGCACAGCGGCCAGCAGTCGCACATGGGCCGCGGCGTGGGGTGGGAGACCAGGCCGCCCTGAGCGCTCGGAGCGCAGTCCAGACGCCGAGACCCAGCGCCAGCGGCGTCTGCTCCGAGCGGAAGGGGGTTTGTTCACCCCAAAGTCTTCCCGAGGAATTTCTACTGCTCAGCCGGACAAGCAGCCCTCCCGCCACACGCCGTGGGCAGAGGCGCGCGTGGCAGACGGCCTCACCGCTGCGCTGGGCGCGAGGCGGCCCTGGGCCCCCAGGAACGGGTCTGGCCGCGGCGGGGGCGTCTCTCCGCTTCAGCCTCCCGGCCGGCCAGCTTTCGGCCGGGGCGGCGCGTCCTCGGGTTACCTAAGCCTTTTAAATCCTCTAAAAACGTCCTCCCTGTCCCGGAACAAACGCTGGCGTATCAGCCCTGGTCCCCTCCCCCCTGTGAAAATTCAGCCAAGAAAACTCCCGTGAGGTTTTCCGACCCGCAGGGGAGTCACGGCGCCAGGCGCGCGGCCACCTTCCAGTCTGCTCCCGCCCCGCGGCCTGTGCCCTCCTGCGCCGCCCTCCGGGGGCAGGGGCCTGGGGCTGGGCGCCAGGGCAGGCCGGGCACCGCGGCTCACCCCCGGGGGCTCCCACCAACCACCGCCCAGTAGGTTCTGACTCAGGTGGGGCAGCTTGGAAACCTGCGTCTGTACCCCAGGGCCCCCTGGGGGGGCGTCACTCCCAGACTCCTGGGGGACCACAGGCCCGTGGGAGGGAAGGGGCGCCTCCCGGGCAGGCGTCCACCAATTACTCAGTGCCCGCGGGGGCCCCGCGTTCCCCTCCCCCTGCCGGCCTGACCTGTGAGTGAGACACCTGCAGGGAGGAGAGGCCGCCCCGCCCGCCGCTCCCGCTCCTGCGCGCATGCGGGTCAGCCACACTGGGTCACGGGCGGCGGGCGCCACCCCGCTTCGCGGTGGGAGGTCATCTCGCCCGCGCTGGCCCGGGAGGGAGGACCCGTCTCACCCGGAGCTGCCTGCTGGCCCGGTCCGCGCGGGCATGGGCCCAGGGGAGGGGCTGAGGTGACACCCCTGTGTCCTTACCCGTCGTCCGTCCGGGGCGGGCTCTGGGGAGGTCCTGGCCTGCACCCACACTGGCGGGAGGGGCGGGAGGGGCGGGAGGGGCAGGGCCTCCGGCCGCAGGTGGCCCCAGGGCAGAGGGGAGCTCAGGGGAGAGCCGCTGCAAAGGCAGGTCCCATCCCCGGGCAGCAAGCGCAGCCCCCAGTGGGGGGCCCCCAGGCCTGCACCCTACAGCCACCTGCCACATGGCTGGGGGCCACCAGTAGCAGCCCCTGGGCATGGCTGCTCCGGCCTGGCTCGCCGGCTGGGCTGCGGGGGAGGCCGGGCCGAGCTCTCAGCCCGCGGACAGCGCCCTGGGAAACGCACCAGGGCCGGCTGGGCGGCCCAGGACCAGAGCAGCAAAGACGGGGTGGGGGGCTGCGCTCAGCACCCCCACCTATCCCAGCACCTGAGCCACTTGCCCGCCGGGCGGTGGGGCTTGGGCCTGGCAGTGGTGCCCGCGGGGTGAGAGGTCACGACCGGGGTGGGGGATGGGGGCGCCCTGCGTGTGGCCCTCCCCCGTGGGAGGCTCTGGGATACCCACGCGGGGCGCCCAGCTGCCTGTCCCAGGCCCGGGACGCCCCAGCTGCCCGACAAGGGCTCGGCGGCCTGGCAGGGAAGCCAAGGGCGCTCTGCCCGGCGCTCTGCCCACGTGCGCGTCCCCGGCCTCCCCTCCCCTCCCCTGCTCCCTTCCCCTGCTCCCCTCCCCTCCCCTGCTCCCCTCCCTTCCCCCCTCCCCTCCCTTCCCCCCAGTTCTCCCCGACCCTCCCCTCCAAGCCACCCCCTGCCCCGCCTCGCGGGCGGGGGTGACAGCGGAGGCCATGGCGGGAGCGAACCCCTGCCCAGCTTGGCCCGGCGGGGGTGCGCTCCGGTCAACGCGCCCCTACCATGGAGCGTCTTTATTTTGCCATTCAGTCATATTTCGCTCTTTCTGGGTCTTTTTGAAATTCCCACAACGCTGCTCAGTCGCCACGGGCCGGGCGCGTGGGGGACGAGCGGGGTGGGGGGGCGGGGGGCCGCCTGCCAGGCCCGGGCTGTGGGGCACTGCGGGGTCCAGGCGGAGCGGGGCGCAGCCCCCCTGGGGCGGCTCCTGGGCCCGTGCGTCGGGGAGAACCGGTGTGTGAGCTGGGTGGGGAGCAGCGCCCCGCTTTGGTGCCTGAGCGCCCGGGACCCCTGCCACGTGTGCCCACGAGGCGTCCCCAGGACACGCGTGTGCCAGCCACGGCGTCGGGGGCCCGGGGGTCCCGGGCTGCCGGGAGAGCGGCGGGCGGCCGGGGGGCTCCCTCGGTGGGCGCCCCACATGGCCCGGGCCTGCGGGCGCGGGAACTAGGGGTCCCCCAGGAGCCCCGTCTCCCTGGGCGCCCCTGCCCGCTGCGGGGCGCCCCCCGCCGACCTCCGCCCCTCTGCGGACAGGAGCCCCGGCCGGGTCCCGGACTCGGTTAATTTGTGAAGAAACCGCAGGACAGGCCTTCTCAGGGCCCCCGCCGCCCCCAGGCCAGGCCCGAGGCCCCGCGCTGGGCGGGCGGGTGTGAGCGGGCGTGGGTGGGGTGGGCGGCGTGGGCGCTCGCGCACGAAATGAAGTGAACAGAAACTTGAGATTTGGTTTAATTCACGGTTTAATTTCAAAGCGGGTTAGGGGTCACTGTCGCGCGGGCGCCGTCTGGAGCCGAGCCCGGGGCTCGCTCACCCAAGTCCGGCGGTTTACACCCGACCCGGGGCCCAGGGCGGCCGCAGGCACCGCCCGGACCCCCCCGCCCCAGCACGCGCGCGGCCTTCACCGGACAAAGCACGTTAAAGCTCCGTTCATTTTGATAAGGTAAAAAATAAAGCTATAGAAACTGCTCTTTAGATTTTCTTTCTCTGCGAAGGTAGGTCCCGCTCGGACGCTCCCACTCGCTGACGCCGCATCCCGTGAGGACGCCCGGCCGCGCCCCCGCCGGGACACGCTGGCCAAGGGTGTTTCTCCCGCTCTGGGAGCTGCAGACGCGCAGCCGGGCCTGCAGGGAGGGGCCGAGCAGCCCCACAAGCTTGGACGCCCAGGCGGGGCGCGCCCCACGCGGGGCAGGGCCAGCGGACACGGTGGCTTGAAGGAAGGATGCAGCCCCTGCAGGCCGCCCCGCGCGCCCAGGCGCCAGCGCCCCGGCGGGCCCAGCCGCTTCTGGAGTTAAAGCTGCAAGATCCCAACAGGCCGAGCGGCAAGTGCACAAACCTGCTACCAGGGACGCTGCCCAGCGGGGGTGTGCGGGGCCCGCCGCCCAGGGGGCCAGTCTGCGGGTGACGGGGCCGTGCCCAGGGGGCCAGGCCAGGGCCTGGGCGAGAAGTCTCAGGGGCGGGGCTGGTAGGGGCCTCGGGGCGCCCACGCCTATGCGTGGACAGGCGAGCAGGAGGACGGGGCAGGCCGTGCCTGGCTGCCGGGCATGCCGGGCAGCAGGCGGGCAACGCCCCAAGTCCAGGAGGCCGCCCACACCGGCCCGGCGCGGACGTGAGTTTAAGGCAAGTAAACGCCACTGGCCTGGACTGCCGAGGGGCCACTGCTGGCTCAGCGGCCTCTGCCCACTTCCAAAGCGGGGCACGGTCGGTCAGAAGTCGTCCAGCCCCTGTGCAAGGCACCCGGGGCGCGGGCCCTGAGCGCCCACGGGCCGCGGCGGCGCCTCCCACGGGGACGCCAAGCTGCGGTTTAAGGCCGAAGGATGAAAACCGAGCAGGACACAACGCCGGCGAGAGGCCGCCGGGGCGGCGGCCACGCTGCCCGCGCCAGCAGGGGCGAGGCCCCCGGGAGACCGCGCTCCTCGGCGGCGGCGCGGGCGGCCCGTGGCCGGAACCTCATTAACTTAAAAAATAAAAACTTGAAAAACATACTTTAAAAACTAGACGTGGTGGGTTAACCCGGAAACGAATCAAAGACAGAAACAGCTGTGAAAACACCGCCGCGAAGGCAACTCCAGGATCCCTGAGAAAACAGGGTCCGGGGAACGCGGGGACTGAACGGGCCGCCCGCCGTGGGGCCGCGGGCTGGGTGCGGCCGGCGCGGCGGGGGGAGCGGCCGCCCCACCCCAGACCCGCCGCCCCGCGGCTCCCGGAGGCCCCGGCGCGGCCCTGCCGCGGGCAGGCGGGCGGGGGCTCCCGCGCGTGGGCGCTGCTCTCCGCCAAGGCATCTGCCGGGACGCCTGAAGCCTGAGCCTCCAGCTGAAGCGTCTTCCTCAGGGACCGTTAAGGCCGTTGCCGAGAACAGGTCATTCCCGGGGCGCGGGGCGCAGGGCGGGTCCCGTCGCAGCAGCTTTCCCGGCCGCCTGCGGGGGCCCAGCGTGTCCGCGGCTCCCTGGCCCTGCGCCCAGGGGTCCTGAAGACTGGCCGCCCCCGAGGACGCGGAGGGTCTCCCGTCACACACAACTGTCCCGCAAGCCCCGCCCGCACACTCCAGACGCCGTCCTGGGGGGGGGTGGCCAGCCCATGTGGAGGGGCCCGACAAGCTCCTGCAACGTCCAGTGTGGCCAGAGCCCCAGGAGGCGTGTCCCGAGAGGGTGTGCTCCGTGCCGGCGCGAGGCGGAGGCCGGCGGCTCCCCGATGCTTGGCTCCAAGCGGGTCCCTCTTGCTGCAGAGACGTGTGCCCCAGGCAGCGGCCCCCCACAGCCGCCGGACAGGGCCGCGGGAGGCAGCGGGCAGCAGCGCTGGCCCCAGGACGCTCAGCTCAGCGCGGGCCTCAAAGGCTTGACCTGGTGATGTGTCTGTCGTGGCCCCCGGGGTGGGGCTCGGGCGGGGGCCGGGGTGGCTCTCATCGGGTCAGCATCTCCTGCTCAGAGTGGGGGCCTGGCCAGAGGGCTGAGGGTGTGGGGGGCCAGGGTGCGGGCAGCTGGGGCTCTGCAGAGATGCGAGAGGGACGGGCTCTGAGAGGCAGTCCGGGCCCCATGCGCTCTGTGGGGACAGGGAAGACAGCGTCAGCTCTGGCAGGCGCGTCCCCACACGGCCCGCAGCGGCCACACTGCTGGGTCCTGCCTGGACTGGGCAGCACTCGGCAGGGACGGCCCTGGGGACCAGAGGGCACTGTGTCGGGCTGAGGGGCCTGTCCACGGACGGACTCCCGCCCCGAGGCCTGGCCCCTCAAGCCTGGGGTCCTTGTCCCCCAGACCCGGGCTGCCCGTATGGGAGGCCAGCACTGGTCAGGCAGTCGGGTAGAGGTAGTGGACGCAGAGCTGTGCCCAGGGGCTGCTGGGGCTGGCACCCAGCCCGCTGGACCTCCAGCTGGACGCTGTGTGACTGGCCGCGCTGGCTCGTGTGCCCGACCAGCCCGGCCGCCTGACCAGGCCCCACATCCCCACAGCAGCCCTGGGCATGCCTGCCCAGCCGGCCAGGCCTGGCGCGAGAACCGGCTGCCGCACTTTCAAAACAGGCCTTCCCCGCCCTTGCGGGTGACCCCGTGGCCACCTCCGAGGCCGAGCTGTGTTCTGGCAAGTGGGACTCGTGTCCACGCAGTGTGACAGGCACCAAGGCGTCCAGCCAGGCTGGCGGCCACTTACCTGGGCAGCACACACCCCTGCTCACCATGAACACAGACCACTGCAAACACACAGCACAGCAAAACTTTGGAGGACAGACGCCCGCTCTGCCCACCGCGGCCGTTACCTAGCCTCAGCTACTCTCGCCTCGGCCGCGGCAAGAGGTCCTTCAGGAGTGGCCGGTCGCTGCTGGGCGCCCCGTCAGCCGGCGCGCGGCGTCCCTCGCTCCTCTGCAAGGCGAGGGGGAACACTGAGCCGCGGCCGAGGCCAGGGCTGGGTGCTGCCCACCTGCTGAGGCCGCCACACCTCCGGCCGGTGCCTCCTCCCGCGTCTCCCTGCCCCTCCTCCTGCGTCTCCCTCATCCCTCCTGTCTCCCTCCTCCCTCTCCCTCTCCCTCCTGTCTCCCTCCTGTCTCCCTCCTCCCCTCCTGTCTCCCTCCTCCCCCCTCCCTCCTCTCCCGGGTCTCCCTCCTCCCCTCCCGGGTCTCCCTCCTCCCCTCCTGTCTCCCTCCTCCCCTCCTGTCTCCCTCCTCCCCTCCTGTCTCCCTCCTCCCCTCCTGCGTCTCCCTCCTCCCCTCCTGTCTCCCTCCTCCCCTCCTGTCTCCCTCCCCTCCTGTCTCCCTCCTCCCCTCCTGTCTCCCTCCTCCCCTCCTGTCTCCCTCCTCCCCTCCTGTCTCCCTCCTCCCCTCCTGCGTCTCCCTCCTCCCCTCCTGTCTCCCTCCTCCCCTCCTGTCTCCCTCCTCCCCTCTTGGGTCTCCCCCCTCCCCATCTGTCTCCCTCCTCCCCTCCTGCGTCTCCCTCCTCCCCTCCTGGGTCTCCCTCCTCCTCCCATGTGTGCCCAGGGTTCCTAGGCAGTGCTCCTGGCCTGTCCTCACTGCCCCTCACCAACCCAGCAGGTCACCCAGGAACCCCAGCAGGAAGGGCCACTGCCCCCAAAACACCCAGGCAGCTGTCCAAGCCCAGCAAGGGCTTCTGGAAGCCTCCCCTGAAGCCCCGCCACACCCTAGCTCCTGGTGTCCTGCCCAGCAGCACCGGGTACCCCAGGGCCATGTGTCTGTCCATCCCTGTCCCTGCCGTACCTTCCTCTGTCTCTGTCCCCGTCCTCTGCCCACCACATCCTGTTCCCGCCCCTCCGTGCCCGCTCCATCCCTGTCTGTGCCAGCCTGCCTCCTCCTCGGTTGCCCTCTCGCCCTGTCTCTAGTCCCACGGCAGAGCCCGGCCCAAGGCGGCGCCTGAGGGCCCGGATGTGCAGGCTGATGGCTCAGGTCTAGACCGCAGGCGAGCGGGCCAGGGCGTCAGCGTCTCACCAAGGAGGAAGGAGCCTGAGGTTAAGGAGCCTCGAGCGGGGCTGCAGGAAGGCCCTGGGGGAGGCCCCCGGCTCAGTCTCCTCTCAACAGTCAAGAGCCCCCCAGCTGCAGGCAGCGAGCCCCACACAGGACGAGTCACGCTGTTTGCCTCCAAAGTTTTGCTGCGCCTGGGGTCTGACAGCGGGTTGCACGGTGAGCGGCCGGCTCTGTGCGCGCGGGGGCAACACAGGCGCCCAGGCCGCGAGGTCACGGCCCTCAGGGGACGGCGCCACGGCCGCCCCACCCAGGACGGGCCCTGACACTCTCAGCCCGGAGGGCTCACGGGTGTAAACTGAGACGGGCTGTGGAATTTATTCCAGCGGATTACGACGGCATCTGATGAGGAAAGCGTCGCCCGCCGCCCCTCTGGGGTGGACGAGAACACGCGTCCGCGGCTCAGAGCAGCGTCACCGCCTGCGGGGCGAGCTGTCACCAAAAGGGCCTCCTCCCCCCGGAAGCGGGCTGGAAAAACAGCACAGACACGCGCTGCGGAGCGCAGACTCGGGCCGGGGGGGGCGTGCGGACGAACCCCGGCCTGGGGGAGGCCCGGCCCCGCGGCCACAGGGCCCAGCCGGCGCACACGGCACGTCTTGCGGAGAAGCGGCCTTTCCAGCAAAGCCGGGGCTTTTCAAAGACCATGGGGTTTCTCGAAAGCTTAAAAGGAATTGGTTAAACGGTTGACAAAGATCCTCTCCCCAGCTGTGAACTGGGCAGGGCCCAGCTTCTGCCTTCAGGGCCTGCGGCAGCAGGGGGCTGACCAGGGGGGCGGATCGGCGGCCGCGCCCCTCCCCCGACGGGGTGTCCGACACCCCACGGGCCCCGGGGACGCGCCGGCCGCTGGCGGCGGCAGGCGGCTGAGGTCGCCTCACCACCGGCTGGGCCGCAGTCAGCACCAGGTCTCCGGGCGACAGCGGCTCCGGCCCCAGCATGCAGAGAGAGAGAGAGGTCACCTGTCGGCTAGAAAGTCAGACTGCCGGAGGTCTGAGAGAGCATAAAGATGGTGGACTGCTCGACAGAAAGACAGCGGCTCCGGGTCTGCAGCGCCGAGGCCCCGCAGCAGGGAGAGAGCAGGCGAGGAGGCGAGAGGAGAGAAACAGAGCAGTGAGTCCCGGCCTCCCCGCGTGGCCCTGGACGGCCTGTGCGGCCCCGCCTGGCCGGTGCACCTGGCGGCCGCGGGCCTCTCCACGTGGCGCCACACAGCCGCGCGGACCCAGCCGAGGCCCTGGGGCGGGGGTGGCTCTGGTGCGAGGCTCGGGCCCCACCTGCCGGCCCCGGCGCCCGCCCCAGCGCAGGGACACGGCCGCTCCAGCTTCCCACACGCCGCCCTGACCGCGCCCTACTCCTGGCCCTGGTGCCTGCGCGTCCACTGCTCAACCTCGCTGGCTGCAGGAGGCGGCAAGACCGTCTCCGACCCCCTCCGCTGCTCCCAGCTGCCTCCGCTGGGTGAGGGGAGGGTCGTGCTCTCCCTGAGGTCACTGTGGGGGTCACGCTGGGCCGGACGGTCACCCCACCTGTTCTCTTTCCTGAACCCTAATTGGAGGGAATGGTGAGCAGGCGGCCCCTACCAACCAGCTTCTCCAGCTATGACCGCCGAAGCGCCTCAAACATGCGGTGTCGCCTCTGACGAGCAGGCCGGCCCGAGGTTCCCACAGCCCGGCTCCCGCCACTGGGCCTGAGCTGCCCCTTAGCCTCCCTCCGCGCTGACCGTGGGGTGCAACACGGGCCCTGGCCTGACCAAGCAAACCTCCAAACCCGGGAGGCGGGACACCCCTGGGCCCCTGTGCTCCCCGACCCCCGCGCCCCACCCACCTGCACCCGCTCCGTGGCGCTGGGCCACAGCTGGCGGCACAGCACTTTCTTGAGGACGTCGGGCATGAGGCTGACGGTGATGAGCAGCACGATGGCCAGCCAGGCGGGCCCGCTGGACAGCATCTGGATGAACACGTAGTACATCCTCTGGTAGCTGAGGAACGGCCTGCGGGGAGGCCACCGCGTCAGGGCCGCAGCCCACCTGGTCAGGGGTGGGGAGGGTCCCAGTGCGGCCCAAGGGGCAGGGACACCCCCACCAGGCTCAGGACAGCCAAGGGAAGGCGGGTGGTCCTGGGATCAGGCCCGGGGGCGGCTCCGAAGACCGCAGCCGCAGCTCCTCCCCCGGCTCCTCCCACATGAGCACCACTTCCAGGTCTCAGCCCACACCTAGCGCAGTGCTCGGCCAGTGGGGGTCAGTGTGGGGGCCTGGCCTGGAGCCCTCCTGGCCCGTTCCCCTTGCCCTGCATCCTGGGAGCCTGGGCCAGCACGCCAGGAGCAGGGACCCCTCCAGGCTGGGCCCCCTGCCGCCCTGGGGAAATGCCCCAACAGCGAGTGGACATGAGAACTCTGGAGAATTCCTGCTCGGGGCACAGACCCATGCCGGGGAGCGGAGCCGGCCCGAGGCAGCTGAGGCAAGCACCAGTGAACAGAGCTCAGCAGGCGGCTCGTGGGAACGGATGTCCAGGCAGAGCAGTCGGGCAAGGGCACGCTCACCAAGGCCGTGCCAAGGTGGCCATCTGCCCTCTCCAGACTGACCGCTCAGTCCACACCACTGACTGCTCGTCCACACCCGACAGCTCTGGGCCTGGCATCCTGCACCTCCAAACACAGCCTGTATGCCCCCACCTGCGCCCCACATGCCCCCGTCAGCCACACCTACGCCTCGCCCGCACACCCACGCCCACACGGACGCAGGGGCCAGGCTGCAGGACAGCGAGGGGCCACGCCCAGTGGCAGGGGGCAGGCTCTTACCAGATGATGCCGCCCCAGAGGAGTGAGAAGACCACGTAGAAAAGCAGCGAGCCCCAGATGACCAGGTGGTTGATCCAGGTCCAGTAGTGTGTGTCCAGGGCCAGCTGGGGGGACAGGGTTCATAGGCACGCTGGCTGGACAAAAGCCAGGTGAACAAAAACCACACACGGCCTCCACGCCAGCTACACACCCCCTTCCTGGGCGCCACGGTGGCCACGCTCCCAGGCGGAGGACGGGCAGGGACAGGGCTGGGACATACCGCGCCACTAGGCGCCACCTCCGTGAGGGAGCTGGACAGGCCCTGGGGACTGGCCAGCCTTGGGAACGCGTCCACATGCCTGGGGGGTCTGCTGAGCCCGGCCAGGCGCCGGCTGCCCCGAGAGTGAGCACGTCTGGGCCTCTCCTCGCTTCTCCGCTCGTGCAGGCCAGGCCTCGCCCTGACAGCAGCTGCCACTGGCTGGGCATGGGGTCAGCAGGCACGCGGGCACTGGCCTCCTTGGGGAGGGTGCCACGAGCTTGCCCGTTCGGTGGGGGCGCTGGAATGCTGCCGCCCCGAGGGCCCGGCCACACCCTGCCAGGGGGGCCTGCCCACAGCCGCCAGGCGGGCGCCCTCACCTTCAGTGTGACCGTGAACACCATCACAGTGAACACCAGCGTCCCGAAGGTCCAGTTCCCAAACACCTGTGGGAGGAAACCCAAGAGGCCCGTCAGCCCGGCCCTCCAAGCCAGCGTGCGGGGAGGACACCACGCAGCCGGGGCCACCCCGCCTGGCGGGACACGGCGCAGGCGCTCCCAGAGCGGCAGCTGCAGCAGAGCCGGCCCCCAGGCCGCCCCGCATCTTGTAGAGCCGAGCGGGTGGCTAGGTGTGCCGCAGCGTGGCCACATGTCCCCAGGAGCACCCAGCTGGACCGAGGGAGGCCCTGACTCCCGGGGCGTCTGTGACCAGAGGAACACGCAGGGCGGGCGTCATGGCCTCTGAGTCGGGAGGGGCCGGGCCTCAGGCCTCCCAGCATGTACGGCTCTGAACCCCAAGCCCCTTGTCCTCTTCATTCTGGCTGGCCTCCGTGCCGGCCCCGGGGCCCGTCCCTACGGGCAGGCCCTGCCCTGGCCTGCCCTGCCTGGAGGGAAGCCAATGGTCTGGGCCTGGGCGGGGGCTCCAGCGCGGCGGGTCTGCCCAGGGCTCCCCAGACAGGACCTGTGGAGCCTCAGCCACGGTCCTGGGGCCGAGTGGACGCGGGGCCTTCACCCAAGGGAGGGGAGAAGCCCCAGTGTGCAGGAGCGGCCTCCACAGACAGTGCACCCAGGAGCACCCCACCGGGCGGAGTCCCATCCCCTTGGGAGCGGTGGGGCCCTGGCAGCGAGGCCTCAGCCGCAGCCCTGAGAGCCAGGCCCAGACTCCCCAAGGCCGTGTCCCCTCACTCACTTCACCTGCAGCCCAGGCCTCCACACAAGGGCCACTGCTCTGAGTCGTGGCCATGGGCTGGCGTGGCCGCCCAGATGCCAGCCGCCTGCCAGACAGGCATCTCTGGGGATGGCGCCTCCCCACGCCCTGCTGGCCCGACACCGGAGCTGACCCCCAGGAGCCTCGCCCGCAGGGGAGAGGACAGACAGGGCTCTGCCACTGACCCCACGCCCTCCTGCTCTGCCGAGATGCCCGGGCTGAGCCCGGCAGGAGCCCGTGACCATGGGGCGTCGACGCCGCACAGCTGTGGAGACCTGTGGAGACCCGACACCCTAACCCAAGCACACTCGGAGCGACAGCCAGAGCGGGACGGCCCTACCTGTGCTCGCTGCCCGCCCCACCGGCCATTCCACTCCACCGGCTGCCCACCGGGTGTGACCCCGCACCCTCGCTCCCGGCCCACTGCAGGCTCACCCGTATGGGGAGCGCTGGGGAGCACGGCCAGCCCCACCCGGGTCTGACCAGGGGCACAGTCGCCACGCGGGGCCAGCGGCCGCGCTGTCTCCAGGCTTCCTCACGGGTGAGGCTCGAGGGCGGGGCCTTCGGGGACAGGCCGGGGCGCCAGGTCCCACAGATACCTTCCGGCCTTGGCCTCTCTGCCGCCGTGTTTAGTCCTGACCAGCGTGTTTGTCCGTAACGGCCGGCAGGCGGGAGGCCCGGCAGAGTCCTGGGGAGGTGGCACCTGGGGCAGAGCTCATGTCCCCGGGGCTGACGGCCCTGGGGCACGGGCAGCCAGGGCGGCAGGACCTGCTCCTCCCCGCTCACACAGGCCTCTGGCGGGCGTCCAGGGACGGCTGCCCCTTCACTGCCTGACAACGAGGAGGGCGACTCAGAAGGCGGGGAGTGGCCGGGTCAGCGTGGCCGAGGGGCGCTGGCCCTGCCGCACCCGCAGCCTGGCTCTCAGGAGCCCAGCGAGCCCACCCCAGGGCGCGCGACCCGGCCGAGGTGGCGGAGGGACAAGACGCTCTGGAGACACCTCCAGCTGGCGGCGAATCGTCCCCTAGAATGGGGGACGCGACATCAGTCGTTCCCGGACCCCACCTGAGTGCGGGAGCCCGGGGGCGCCTGCGGCCTGTGAGCACGTCCGGGCCGGCCGGAGAAGGGTCATGACCCCGATGTCCAGCGCCGCCCCCGCCCGATGGGGAGCAGGCCCGCGGGGTCAGGGGCCGAGAGCGGCCTCCCGGGAGTGGGGCCGCAGAACGTTCTCGCAGGCCGCGGAGCGACTGCAGCACGGGGGGGAACAGACAGCGGATGCACACGCTGCGGCGGGCGTTGTTCCCATGAGGACGGCGACAACACGCAGCGGGCTGTCACGGCGGCGTGCTCGCGAGCGCCTGCCCTCCGGCCGCTGCCCGGGACACGCCGCAGCTCGGGCGCGGGCCGGGGCCACACACACACACACACGCCGGCCGGCTCTGACGGCTCGGCAAACCCGCGAGGCGAGCCCGAAGGCCCCCGGGCGGCGGCACACGGGAGAAGGCACGCTGCAGAATATTTCCGAGAAATATTTCATGGCGACAGCACTCGAGACACAGAACAACCCACGGGGCTTACCGTCTGCGCGCTGCTCGCCACTACCTGCGTGGGGGCGCAAGCAGCAAGGAGAGAAAAGCGAGAGACAGTCAGACCACCCGAGGCGGGCGCCGGCGAGCTGGGAGCCAGGGCTAAGGGGAGCCAGAAACCAGACGACCAGGGAGCAGGTCAGTGGGGAGCAGGGGCTGCGGGGAGCTGGGAAACTGGACCACTGGGGAGCTGTGGCCAGTGGGGAGTGGGGAGCAGGGCCTGCAGGGAGCCGGGGCAGACCACGGGGGAGCGGGGCTGCAGGGAGCCGCCGGCACACTCGTGGCAGGAGCAGCACATGAACACAGGTGAGACAGGCTAACGCGTGAGATGCCACGTTCGCGCCCTCACTGAGTGAGCCCCGGCTGCGGGAGGGGGCCGGGCACCGGGTGTGGCAAGGGGGAGACACGTGCCCCAAATCTCCCGTCCACTGCCCAGGAAGGATGTCCCTGGCCCTTGAGGTCACCTGCAGCGTGCCCAAGGCTGGCCCACAGGCCGCGGCACCGAGCTCGGGTGTCTACCCTGGCACCCCTGGGCCCACCTGCCCACCCGGACCCACCTGCCCGTTGCTGGCCACCGCCGTGTTCTCAAAGATGAAGTAAGCACCGAAGAAGAAGACCAGCGCGTCGAACACACCCAGCAAGGTCCAGTAGATGAACACTGGCCAGCGCAGCAGGGCGTTCTTGGCGACATCCCTGCGGGAGGGCGAGGCCATCACAGGGCGCCCACCTCGTCCTGGAGAGGCCCCGGGCAGCACGTGGCATGGAGGGGAGTGCGGGAGGCCCATCCTGGTGGCCCCTCACTGACCACACCTGTGTGCAGGAGGCCTGGGGGCTCGCGGCGGGAGTCCCCCCGCTCACATCCTTGTCGTTTGGGCCCATCCCAGAGTCGGCAGGGGCCAGACCAAGGGCCCCTGGGTTTCCCTGGTCACACCAGAGGTGTGTCAAGAGGACGCGCCCAGACCCTCCAGCTCTGTGGCTTGTCCAAAACCACCTCTGGGTCCAAAAAGGCCTCGGGATGTTTGGAGACCAGGCCTGACGGGTACACGACCCATGGATGCACCACGTATGGCAGCGAACACCAAGCCTGAGCTCCCTGGCAGCAAAAGCAAAAAGCTCTCTAGTCTCAGCATTTCACCATCCGTGACATCCCTGAGTGATTGTGGCATCTGGTGTTTACCTTGCAGGGCGGGCTGTGCTGTCACTGCTGGCAGTGATGCCACGTCACACCTCTGCTTCAGAACGGACAGGCCAGGACGGGGGACAGACACCCTTAGGCCACTGCCCTGGACCCTGGACTTCCTCTCTGCCAGCCAGCACAGCAGTCACAGGCCCTGGGGTGCGCACCACCCCGGCACTCACGGCGCATGGCAGACTCTGACGGGGTCTGGTCACCGTCCCTGGTGCCCTCATACTCCAAACCCCAGTCACGCGTATGTCCCGCGCGGCCGAGGCCACCAGGGGGGTTTGTACTGTGGCCACAGGAACCATGGAGGTGAGAAGAGGCCTGGAGCCGGGAGGCAAGGTACATGCGCCCGCCGGAGCGGGGATGAGGGGCCGGTGCAGGCCGTGGTGCCCAGAGCCGCTGTGCGGCTGAGCGGTGTCTGCCGGGGTCACCAGCTGGACATCGGCACGTGGAGCGTCATCATTTTTCAAAAGCGCAGGCGGAAAGGCCTGTGTCTTTTTGACGACACGTAACTGAGAAAGCCGTGAGGGGCCCCGAGGGCAGAAGAAGCATCTCCTGATTACTTCGCAGGGCGGGCGCAGTCCCGGCCTCACGAGGATGCACGCAGCATCCCCGGGCCAGTTCTAGCCACGGCCCTCGGGTCACAGGTGGCAGAACCTTCCCCGCTCGCCCCAACCGCCGCTGTCCCACTCGACCCCGTCGCGTCCCCGCCGCGGGCCCACCTGTACAGGGCGGGGTCCCTGCGGAGCGTCTCAACGCCCACATGCTGCTCCATGAGGCTGTACAGCAGGATGGGGAGGGACGTGAAGCTGATGTTGTAGAGGGTCAGGTAGGCCGCGTCGTACAGCGTCTGCAAACCCAGGACGGAGGCCAGGTCCTCGCCAGCTCCCAGGCTGGTCTGGGGGACCCTGCCCCCGAGCACTCGGCTGCCTCCAGAGCCCCCGGACCCAGTGGCCAGCAAAAGCTGACCTCTGCCCCTTGTCACCAAGCTCCTCCCTCTGGCCCTGACCCCTGGGGATGCAGTAGGGCTCACCAAACACCCTCAGTCAGGAGGTGGTCTTGGTGAGATCCCGCGGGACCCCTGGGCCTGGGATGCATTCAGGCTGACTCAGTGGGCAGCACCATGGCCTGTGGCCAGGCGGGTCAGGGGAGCTTGCTCTGCCTGGCTCTCTGACCGCCCCCCACGCGAGGAAGGGCCGCTGTGACTGAGGACACGACTCACCTGCTGTGAAAAGCCACAGAAGAACTGGTACAGAAACTGCGGGAAGATGAAGCAAACGTTCTGGAAAAGAAGCCACATGCTGGTCAGGTCAGTGCAGGTACCGGCTGAGGGCACCTGCTGCTCCCAATGCTGCCCAGCCGGACCCTGGGACAGAACGACCCCAAAGAGCAGCCCCCGCGGGCTTGGACCGTCCTATCTCAGGGGCACCCCGAGTCACTGGGGTCAGCTGGTAAAGGCAACAGTTGGGGGGACGGGAGGAGCAGGTGTGAGGGGGAGGTGCCTGGGCAGGAGCACAGACGCAGGGTCAAACTGCCCGCGGGTAAGAACTCTCCAGGGAGAGCCCCTTGCCCACCCCACCCTTGTGGGCGGCCCCTCCCCGCAGCCCACCTTGTAGAAGAAGTACTGCACGAGCTCAGAGATGCGCACATAGTACAGGTGTCCATGCACCAGCAGCATCTTCTTCAGGTGCTTGAACTTGGGGATGGCGTAGTCGCTGTTCCTGGCAGCCTGGCGGCCCTCCTTCCCAATGACACCTGCAAGGGCACGTCGCTGTCACCAGCGGGCTGGCTGACGCCCGCCCCTGCCCCGCCCCTCCGGGGCAGCCACCGCTGCAGCTCACCGATGCCCACGTGGGCCTCCAGGATCATGCTCACATCGTTGGCCCCGTCCCCGATGGCCAAGGTGATGGGGTGCTCCTTGGAGAGCTTGATTAGCTTAACGATCTGAAAGAGAAAGCGGGCACATCTCCCTCTGCTCCCGCTCAGCCATCTGTGGGCCGGGCCGGCCAAGAAGCCTGTTAGGTCAGGAACGTGGAGTGTCTTCCTGGGCTCAGCCTATTTTATCCCCACAGACAAGATTCTTCTACTGACAGCCAAGCAAAATGGGATCCAGCCCAGAGGGTGCGTGGGGATGGCCCCACGTGGGGGTTCCCACACCAGCAGGCCCAGAGCAGGGGTGGGGTGCACAGGGGACGGCTGGCGAAGCTGCACTCCCCCAGGGTGTTGCCCAGGCCCCTCCTCGGGCGCCCTGACGCTGCAGGGCCTGTTCTCCCTCAGGGCTCCACCGGCCGGGCCAGGCGGGAGAGGTGCTGGAGACCAGGGGTAGGACCCTCTCCCGCCGGCCCAGACACGTCACAGGCCAGGGGCTGAGGGTCCCAGGGCAGGCGCACCACGGGCTCCTCCGTCAGGCTGGCTCCGTGAATGGCTGAGGTCAGCTCGGCTCTGCACGGGAGCGCGCTGGCCGGGTCCAGCCCAGCCTGACTCAGGAGACGGCCCGGGGCGTTCCCGCGACTTTACCACCAGGATTGGCGGCCTCAGGGGCGAGAGCGGCGGCGGCGCGCGCCCGGGACCTGCTGCCAGACCCGGGAAGTGGCGCGAATAAGCGGCGGGTCCAGCGTTAGTTCGGGAGGTTCTGCTTCTCCCCTTCCCTGCTGCGCGGTCGCGGGTGCCGGGTTCCGCATCCGAGGCCGCGTCGACAGGGCCGTGCCCGCCCGCGGAGGTCACCGGCCTCGAGTGGGGCCCGAGGGGGGGCCCGAGCGGGGGCCTCGAGCGGGGCCCGAGGGGGGCCCGAGGGGGGCCTGAGCAGGGCCCGAGCGGGGCCGAGGGGGGCTCGAGCGGGGCCTGAGCGGGGGCCTGAGCGGGGCCCGAGCGGGGCCCGAGGGGGCCTGAGCGGGCCCGAGCGGGGCCGAGCTGGGGCCTGACGGGGGCCTGAGGGGGTCCTGAGCAGGCCCGAGCGGGAGTCTGAGCGGGGCCGAGCGGGGGCCTGAGGGGGGCCCGAGCGGGGCCCGAGCGGGGCCCTGAGCGGGGCCCGAGCGGGGCCTGAGGGGTCCTGAGCGGGCCCGAGCGGGAGTCTGAGCGGGGGCCCGAGCGGGGGCCTGAGGGGGCAGCGGGGCCCGAGCGGGCCCGAGCGGGGGCCGAGGGGGCCTGAGCGGGGCCCGAGCGGGGCCGAGCGGGGGCCTGAGGGGGCCTGAGGGGGTCCTGAGCGGGCCCGAGCGGGAGTCTGAGCGGGGCCCGAGCGGGGGCCTGAGGGGGGCAGCGGGGGCCGGAGCGGGGGCCTGAGCGGGTCCTGAGCGGGCCCGAGCGGGAGTCTGAGCGGGGGCCTGAGGGGGGCAGCGGGGCCCGAGCGGGCCCGAGCGGGGGCCTGAGCGGGGCCCGAGCGGGGGCCGAGCGGGGGCCTGAGGGGAGCCTTAGGGGGGCCTGAGCGGGGCCTGAGGGGGGCAGCGGGGCCCGAGCGGGGGCCGAGCGGGGGCCTGAGGGGAGCCTTAGGGGGGCCTGAGCGGGGCCTGAGGGGGGCAGCGGGCCCGAGCGGGGGCCTGAGCGGGGCCTTAGGGGGGCCTGAGCGGGCCCGAGCGGGAGTCTGAGCGGGGCCTGAGGGGGCAGCGGGGCCCGAGCGGGGGCCCGAGCGGGGGCCTGAGGGGGGCCTGAGGGGGGCAGCGGGGCCCGAGCGGGGCCTGAGCGGGGCCGGAGCCGGCCACAGGGGCAAACTGTGGATTTTCGTGTCCGGGGGACGCGACCGGCCCAGCCCCGGGGAGCGGCGCGGGGTCCTCAGCCTCGGGCGTGGAGCCGCCCGGGACAGACGCCTCGGCTGCGGGTACCGCGCGCTGCCGCGACTCACGGACCTGGGCACGGCCGGGCGCCCGGGCCGGAGGCCGGCCCCGTGGAGAGGCGCGCCCCGCGGCCCTGGCCCCCCGGCCCCCCCGGCGGCGCCCGCAGCAGCGCGGACGAGCCGCGCGGCCTGAGGGGAGAAGCGCGGGCGGCCTCGCGGCGGGAGGACAGCGCGGGCCGAGCAAGGGCCCGGGAGCCACGCGCGGCGGGCGGCCCGTCGGGGCGGAAACGCCGCGGGGCCGCCCCTGAGGAGAGCGCGGACGCCGCGAGGACAAACCGCAGCGAACGACGATGTGAAGGTAAAAAAAACACTCATCCGAAAACAGCCGCAACCGGCGGCGAAGGGGCCCCGGGCGCGGCCCAGCCGGCGGCGCCACCTCAGGCCGCGGCGGCAGCTGCGCTTCAGCGCCCTTTCAAGTAAGTGTACTTCCTGGATCGTGGAGTGGGCCAATAAGGTGCAAGCTATGAGCTGATTGGTGCGAAATGATCCAATCAGAGTCCTGTTACCAGGACCCAGCCTCTCGCCACAAGTCAGTAGTGGCGGGCGCGCCTCAGAGCCCTTTCATGTGAAGCGCACTTCCGGGACTCTGGCGTGGCCCAATCAGGTGCGATGGGCTGATGGGTAAATGGTCCAATCAGCCCCAGGATTGAGAGCGGCCAATCAGGCCCGTGGGCGGGGCTCCCTGAGGGGATATAAGCCGGGGTCAAGCCGGCGGCCCGGCCGCAGAGGGCGGCCCCGCCGGGATGGAGGCCGGGGCTGCCTTGTCCGGCCTCTGCCCGGGGAGGCGCCCCGAGAGCCCAGCCCGCGCCGGGGCCACGCAGACGCCGGGGACAGCGAGGCCCCCGCCGGCCGGAGCCGCCCGCAGCCGTCGGGGCCCGGGTGCGCCCCTGCCTGCGGGTCCGGGCGGGTCTCGGCCCGGCAGGGGCGGCCGCTGCGTCCTCCCCCGGCCAGGCCCCGGCCCGGCCGCCCGGCCAGCTGTGGCTCCGCAGCCCGTAACCGCCCTCTCCTATGTACCTCCTGGATCACGGCGCAGACCAATCAGGTGTGAGCTAGATGCCACACGGCCCAATCAGCCACAGGATTGAAAAATGGTCCAATCAGACCTGTGGGCGGGGCCCCGAGAGGCTATAAGGCAGGGCCGGCGCCTGCAGAGCAGACAGGTCCGGCCTCTGAGGAAGCGCGGAGGCCGCGCCCCCGGGGAGGGGAGGGGAGGGCGGGGCAGGGCCTCGTCCTGCCTCCAGCCCAGGAGGGAGCCCAGAGCCCGGCCCGGCGCCCCAAGAGCTGTTGTTGCTGGCGGCCCCAGCGCTCCCAGGAGCTGTGACCCTGGGGTCCCTGACCGGCCTCTGGGGGCCAGCGGTGACCGTCACGCTGGCCGGTGCGGCCCGGCGCGCTGACAGGCGGCCAGCACCCTGCCCCCGCTCCGGCGGGCACTCCGGGGGGCGGCGCGTGGGCCGCGGTGAGCTCCGTCTGCGCGCGGGAGGCAAACCCGCGGTGGCTGCTCCCGCCCGAGGCCTCGTGCAGGTGCGCGGGGCCCCGCAGACCCTGTCCCCTGGGGCCGCCCTGGGGGTGTCGTCTCGCCGCAGCGCTTGGCTTTGGGCCTGCTGGCCTTTAGCGGCCGTCTTGTGTTGGGCGAGCGTTCTGCCCATCGGGCCTCCCTGCTGTTTCAACTTCAATTTTAAAAAGCAGTGGCTTGGGGCTCTCGAGACAGGGGCTGCAACAATGAGCGAGTGGTTGCTACTTCCCCCGCCGGCTGAGAATGAGTGGCCAGTCCCCCGCCAGATACTGAGAGCCAGTGACCGCCCCGCCCGCCCACCTGGGCCTTCTGCAGGGGCGCCATGCGGCAGCACAGCACAGCACTGCAGTTCCGGCAGATCTCCAGGAACAGCTCGCGATAGCTCCCGCTGGAGCTCCTGTCCTCGCAGGGCCTCATGATGAGCGACAGCGCTGCCCCGTCGATGATGAGCCCGTAGTCCTGCCCGTCTGCCGAGAGCCTGGGGGCGGGGAGAGGGCGGCTCAGTGAACATGGGACAGACCGCGGGGGATGCCGGCCTGTGCAGAGGCCACACGGGCACGAGCTTCCCATCACGGCCCACCCATGTGTGCGGACGAGTTTCAATCTGAACTGGCTCTGATGACGTCGCTGTCCAGTTGAGGGCTAGGACCTTCTGGTCCAGCTCTGGACCACAGCAGGATGGGTGACAGCGGCCAGCAGACCCTTAAGCTGTGAAACCAGATCTGAGCGGCAGCTGGCCTGGGATGGGATGGCCACCAGATCCTGAAGTGGACACGGCTAGAGAAGGGACTTCTGCTCCAGCTTAGGCTGCAGGCAGAGGGACAAACCCGGCACCAGCCCTGCGTCACATCCTCGGAGTGGCCCACCAGCCAACAACATCGGGACCCTCACCCCTACGACACCCCCCTCCCCCAGGAAGGACTAAAGAAGGGGCCCATCCAGCCGCAGACAACGTGGTCTCTCCCTTCCCTGTGCTTCTCTGCTGGCTGGCGTCATCTTTAAAGCAATACCTGCTGCGGCGAACCTGCGTTATAAACTCTGCAAAGACCCTCTGAGCTCCCGGCTGCAGCTGCTGTGCCCGCTGAGCCTTGCCGGGAGGGTCAGCCCACAGCATCCTCGCTGGGTTTTACAAATACCAGAAACACCTCTAATTTGCATGGGGATTCTGCAGGTCAGGTGAGAAAATGTCTCTAGTTACTTGAGAGTAACTGGAAACTGACCCGATGGACCTGCTGCAGCTTGATTCTAACCTTAGATGGTGCAGCGCTGTGGAGATGTGTCAGGAAAGGGGAGGGGGGCCTTCTCGGGAAGGGTGAGATTTTCCTTTGCCATAACAGCCATGCCCTGGCGGCCCCTCCCTCCTCGGGCCGTGGTGCTGCCCGGGCGTCTCGGCGCGCCTGGGACAGTCAGGTTCACGGCTCAGGTCCCCTGCTCAGGTTTCTTTCCATCCCCTCCCCAGCACTTTGCAAGTGAACACACGTATGCACATACCACACACGTGCACTGCACACACCACACACGCACCACGGCGCCAGTCCTGCCCCTACCCCGAGAGGCCGTCCCTGGCCAGGGTCCCGCTACCGCGCAGCACGGTCTTCCTCAGCTCCAGCAGCACGTCGTGCAGACTCTGCTCCTCGATCCTCTTGGTGGTGAGCTCGAGCAGCTGGGTGCTGCTGCGGAACAGCCTGCAGGCGTAGCAGGTGGCCGCCGCGGTCTCCATCTTGTCCCCGGTGAGCACCCACACCTTGATCCCGGCCTTCTGTAGGGCCTCGATGGTGTCGGCCGCCTTGTCCTGCAACCTGGGAGCCACACAGAGGGACCGGCGACGTGCCGTCAACACCGAGCGCCAGGCCGTCTGCCGGCCCCGGGGCCCACAGAGCCGCAGGCCGTTCCCCGCCATCCCTGTCACAGAGCAGTGACTGCGGCGGAGACGGGCCGGGTGCAGCCGGCAGGTGGTCGGGGCAGGGCCGGGACACCCTGAGGTTCTGTGGGCTGCCTGCACCTACCGCCCAGCAGGCTGGACCCGGAGTCTCTGAGTAGCACCCAACCCGACTGCGGTCTCGTGGGGCTGCGGGGCCTCCCCCGCCCCTAGGGGCGACTGGCCATGTGACATGCGCGAAGCCCATGCTGCGCGGGCCGTGTGGAGGATGAAGGCCAGGCGTCCCCGGCCGCCGTGTCCAGCAAGCGGGTGCCACTCACCGGTCCTCCACAGCCGTGGCGCCCAGCAGGGTGAGGTCCTTCTCGATCTGCTCGTACGCATCAGCCAGTTTCTTCTCGCGGTCCTGAAGCGCCACCTTGGCGGCTTGCAGCAGCCGGCACACGCCATCGTACTCCTCCGGGGCCAGCCGCTTGTAGGCCACGCACAGCGTGCGCAGCCCCTCCTGGGGGACAGCGAGGCCGTGAGCGCACCCGCCCGCGCAGAGCAGGGGACCAAAACCAGCGCGTGAGCCGCAGACGCGCCAGGCCCCGATGGCGTTAAGAGCCACGAGGGGCTCGCATGGAAGCCCGCAGGGCGGCGCCAACGGGAGCGAGAGATCTGCTTTCATTCCGAGAAATAAAGCGTTAAACCAAGGACTCGGCTGAGGACAACGGCAGTCGCAGTGGGCATCAAGGAGCTGCCCGAGCAGGCGCTTTGGGTGGGAGTGCGGGCTGGGCCTGTTTCTCACAGGGCAACAGCAGGTCACGCAGCAGACCCGCTGGGCCCGCAGGGGCAGACACGAGAGCCCTTCCTCAGTACCCTCGCCCCCACCATGGCACATGCGCCGACGGCCGGGGACAGCACGGTCAGGTCCAGCCACCCCACCTCTGGACGGCCAGCCTGGCAGCACCCTGGCCAGGATGAGCCTTGCCTGGCGCCAGCAGCCACGTCCAGAGACAGCGGCTCACGAGCGAGTCTGAAAACTGCAGTATCTGAGCTCAGCCTCCCCAAGCTCCCTGGCATCCCTTAGGTAACCTCAGACCCATCTGCAGGACAAGACCCGCAGGGTGCCCAGCGGCCACTGTCCCTCGAGCCCTCGGGAGGAGAGCGGAGCTGGCGGGTGGGACCAGAGAGCATCGTGGCTCAGGCCCACATCCTGGGACATTCTGGAACACTTCTGCCCGTCCTCCAGACACAGTCTTGGCCTAGAGGGGAGCGAGCAGGAGCTGGCTGCTGCCTGCCAGCAGGGTTGTGAGGCAGAGCCTTCGGGCTGGAGATGCCCCCCAGTGTGGCCAGACATGGTGCCCATGGTGACCCTGAGGTCAGCACAGAGGGCTCCAACACACAAGGAGCCCAGTCACCTCCCTGAGAGGACGTGGGGCCCCTACAGGCCCCACAGAACACCGTGGGGATGACTAGACAGAGCTGGCCAAGGGGCACATGGTCAGCACGGGGAGGCGGCCTCTTGACACTGACGACCGAGAGAGAGGACTGAGAAGCCAGTCTGTTACGGTGGGGGCCCACGGGTCAGGGAGCTGAAGTCTGAGCAGACCTGTGCCAGGGCGCTGGGGAGGGGCCCCGGGAGTCCCGAAGCGCCCCGGCACCTCCAGATGGCAGGACCCGGGCGTCTCGGACAGAGCCCGCCCCTGCAGGGTTCCTGGGGCTCGGCGGCCGCAGGCCCCGGGCCAGCACGGCCAAGCCCCGCCCAGGACGCCGCCGGCGCCAGCTCACCACGGCGTTGCGCTCCACCCGGGCCCGGATCTGATCCACTTTGCCTTCTGTCACTCGGGGGAAGATGGAGGAGTCTGCTCCTTTGCAGAAGAGGTAGATTTCCCCTGTGGCGGGAGAAGGATGGTTTCTTAGTCACCTGACGTGAGGTGCAAACGCCCTTAGGTGTCACCGAGAACAAGACAGGGACGGAGACGCGTGCGGTGCTCGTCCTCAACATGCAGGGCAGGCGAGGCCGACGAGCGGGAGGGCGGGCAGGTGGCCTCCGCGGCAGTCACGGGGGCGCGGGCGCGGCTGGCGGAGGACACACGTCCGTCCCCCTCTGTGCTGTCCAGTGGACCCGGCAGGCCTGGCCGGCCCTCAGGAGCAAAGGACCTGCCTTCCGGGTAACAGGGCTCCTCGTGGGGGGGGGGCGGGCTCGACCCCGGCCGAGCGCAGACCTGCCGCCCTGTCACTGGGGGTCCGGGACGCCCACCGCACCCCCCGGGGCCGTGCGCACAGAGGGTCACCGCAGCCGCGCCCTCCCCACACGCCCGTCTCAAACAGAGCGAGCGTCTCACTCGACGCGCAGCCAAGTGGGCCCGTCTCCAGGGGCCACACGTGGATGCCAGGGGCGCCGGCCCCCAGCAGACCCGGGCGCACGGGGCCAGGGGTGCTCAGTGCAGCTGAAAGCTTCGCTTTTTAAAAGCAGGACACACGGTATCATTAAAAGAGAACGAGAGATTAAGTCGCCACATCTCAAAGCTGCGCCAGAACCCCAGCAGGTGACGGGCTGGGGCGGGGGGACCCACCTGCCGCCGACCTGACCACCACGCTCATCCGCCGCCTCACCGAGTCGAAGCTCAGCACCTCCAGCAGCTCGAACCTGGAGAGGAGGCCGAGGTCAGCGCCCAGCCAGAGCGGGCGCCCCTCTCTGCAGTATGTCGGGGTGTCCCTGCTGGGCACCCATTCCCCACCGAGCCTCCCAGGCCAGGGCACCCCCCAGCCCCGGGTCCTGCCACCCACAGAGCCCATGCCCCTGTCCCCCAGCCGGGCTAGGCGCAGCCAGGTGGCATCCGTGTTCTGTGGGCGGCTCGCGCTGGTCTGTGTTCCGACCCCGACAGTTTCAAGCAGTCTGACGTCTCAGCAGCTGGCATCATGTCCAGGCACCCCCGACATCTGCGGGGCACCTGCAGCCTTGACCGCCGTCCAGCTCCCCGACACCTCTGGGGCCCCACGGGCCTCAAGACTGCTGGCCAGCACTGCACGTTCTGACATTCCTGCCCGGCTCACCAGCGGGGGGCCCTACGGGTTCCCCTCTAGGTTCTCTGGGTGCTCTGCAGATGCGCCACCTGCGCAGCAGGGCCAAGTCTGCCTTCCCAGGTGACCCTGAAGCCCAGCAGCAAGTGGCTTTCTCTAGGTAACTCTTATTTCTTCTGGGCCTGGGCTGCAGGAAGCCAGGGAGAGCCGCTGAGGAGCGCCCGGCAGTCACCCCAAGGCCTGTCTCAATATCCAGCTCGCCAAACCCAGGTGCGGGAGGCGGCGGCTGCGGCCTGCCCCGGTGGGTCTCCAGCTTCGCGCTCACCTCTCGACATCATTGTCCCTGTTGAGGATCTCCATGTAGTTGTCCTTCAGCCGCAGGTACGTAAAGCCCAGCCTGCGGGCGAGAAGGCAGGCCAGGGTTGGCGCCTCCCTCAGGGACAGGCCGAGCTGGGCCGAGCTGCCCTCCACACGCAGGGTGGCCAGCAGGGGTCTCGACATTGGGCTCGCTTGCGGCCCTGCCTGTCGCCTGCCTGCTGCCCACAGCTGGTGAGGGCAAATGACTCCACAAAGACAGGGTGGCCTACACCAGCCCCACGAGCCGCTGTCGTGACTCCTGTGGGTTTCGCTATCGTCAGCAGTGTGAGGGCGTCAGGGCTGCCGTCTGCACAGCCATGAGGTGCTAAGGCCAGGCCTGCGGTCCCGCTATGGGACTCCCCGTGGTACAGCCGGGGCTGGACATGGTGCCAAGTGTGCGTGGGGTGCAGGGCCAGGGGCGTCCTGGCAGCACCAGGACGAAGGTGCAGCTCCCCGCGCCGGGAGCCGGCAGCGGCAGATGGAGCCCCTGGAGCCCGGCTGCTGGACACGCCCATGGCCAGGGCCCATAGGGGCCAGGAGGCTGAGCCGGCCCCGGAGCCGCAGTGAGTCAGCCACCTGCTCCCAGACCCCATCCTGGTAGGGCCTGCCTGCTGAGATCCTGCTTTCCAAGCAGAGAGGCCAGCCTGCCCACCTCCGTGCATGCGTGCACTGCCCACCGAACGCAGGGCTGCCCTGACTGGAGGGCAGTCTGGAGGTGCAGGGCTTGTCCCGGAGACAGCGGTGCCGGGCACCACAGCCATGGGCGGGGCAGGGCCACGGGGAAAGCCGGAGGGACTTCCCTGCGGGGGGCGCCTCTGGCACAAGCACGTTCCCAAGTGTTGCCTGAAGCAGGAGTCAAGTGAGCTTCCAAGACAAGGACCCCACGGGGCCGACGGCACGACGGGCATGAGGATTGGGCCCAGGGCCCAGCGCCCACTGCCCTCCAAGCCGCAGCACCTCTGGGCGGGCAGCCCGGGGCGGGCAGGACCCCCGTCCTGGCGTGGTGGCCGCTGTGCTAGCCGAACATGGCCGCTGGCCCCACACGAGCTGGCGAGGGGGCCCAGCCAGGGAGACACACCTCTGGACGCCCTCAACCAGCGCCACCTCATCGGGCGAGGACGAGATGTAGGGGCAGGACTTGGCCGAGTCGGGCGACTTCCGGGGCCCGTCCACGTCATCGTCCTCCTTCACCTGGACGGTGTGGCACAGGCACAGGGCCCGGAAGAATAGCTCCTCCCGCTCCTGTGGGGACAGACGGGCCCCAGAGGCTGCAGTCAGGGCCAAGGACCCATCTCTGAGCCAAGCCCAGGGGTGCGCAGCCAGGTCTGGCGTCGAGCACCTGGTGTGCAGGGCCCCCGTGCTCTCAGCCCGCTGCCTGCCTGGCGCGACCACCGGCGCCGGCTGTGAGGGGCACACATTGACGGGGAGTCCCTGGTGGCACACGGGGTCTCTAGTCACTCCCTGGGGGACACGTGGCCTCCCTGGACCCCGACAAGGACCCTCATCCTCCTGGGAACATGGGCAGCTGCATGCAGGGACGGTGGGGGACCGCGGGGCCCACCTTTGCGCTGGCGCCGGGAGAGGAGTCGATCATGTCAATGCCCGAGGAGTCGGGCAGCACCTGGCCGTTGCAGATGACGTGCGGCACGTACACCTGGCCCTCGATGCAGCACTCCTTGAACTCCATGTTGTTCTCGGTGAGCGTGCCCGTCTTGTCCGTGAACACGTACTCCACCTGGGGAGGGGCTGCGTGTGGTCGGCGCCCGAGGAAGCCCCCGCGCCCGCTCTGCCCAGCCCCGGGTGAACCATGAGCCCCGCAGCCACGGGACCGCCGGGAGGTGCCGGTGCGGGCAGCACCGCGACCGCGGGTGAAACGGGGGAAGCTGGGGGCCTCTGCCTGCCGCAGCCCACGCCCGATGGCGCCAGCAGCACCCACAGTCCTCGACGCGAGTTTTTCCTCAGCCGCTGCGCCGGGTTCTACCGAGCGTCGTCAGGACCCTCCCGCGCTCCTGGGCCCGGGGGAGCTTCCGCTTGTCCTGAGACGCCCGGCGGCCCAGACGCCGCGGCAGGTCCCCCCCAGCCCAAGGAGAGGAGCTCGAGGAGGCCCCAGCTCGAGCTTGCCCGGGCAGGCCCGGCACTCTCAGGAGTGACGACGCCGGGCGTTCTCTAAGTCGAGGCGGCCACGGCGGGAGGGTCAGCCTCCAGGCAGCGCAGGACCCCAGGGCACGGCCAGTCTTCCTGGGACCGAAACCTTCCTCCGGAAGTGCCCAGGCTGTGCGGACAGCCGGTGGCCATGGTGGCCACGGGCGCAGAGGTGACCCAGCTGCAGCAGCTGCTGGCTGGGGTGCCCGCCCCGGGCACCTGAGGTCACACGCACAGGGAGCGGGGGCCACCGCTGCTTGGGGCGCCGCGGGCTGGCACCGGTCTAAACGCTGCGCAAACACTCCTCACAGGGCCTCGTATTTCCTAGACAGCCCGGTGTCCGCGCTGACCGACACCCCGTCCTGCCTCGTAGGCGCCGGGAGCCGGGGGCACTGACCTGGCCCAGCTCCTCGTTCAGGTCCGAGGTGTTCACCAGAGGCCCCTCCCCCATGTCCTCGTCAAACATGTCCTCGTCCCAGGCGATGAAGTAGGAGCCCAGGAACTTCTGCATCTCCACGGTCACGTACATGGACACGGGGATGATGTAGTTGAAGAGAACCATGAAGGCCAGGAAGTCGGTGAACGCCTGGAGGAACTGGGCCGCACAGACGCCCACGCGGGCTGTTCACGCACTCGCGTCCCGACCCCCACCCAAGATGGGGCTGCGGGCCTGCCCACCACGGGTCAGTGTGGCCACGGGCTGGCCAGGACGCCCCTGCATTTGCTCTGCCCCGGCCCAGACGCTCCAGCAGAGGTGGCTTGGGGTGAACACTGGCTGAGCCCCGAGGGGGAAAGACCCCAGAGACCCTGTCCCCGCCTGCAGCGTGCGGGCGCCCACCCGGGTCGGCCAGCCCCCCGCCCCTCCCCCGCCCCTGGCTCCGGCCCCCCCACGCCCCTGCCCCGCACCTGGTTCCGCTGCTGCTCCGCCGGGGTCCTCTCGTTGTACCAGGGCTCGCCGCGGGCCGGCTCGCTCTGCCACGCGTACTTGAGCGCGGTGTTGATGAGCGCCTTGCTGACGAGGATGCACAGGTAGACCACCAGGAACGCGTTCATGGACCTGCGGGCGGGAGGGCTCGCAGGCTGCCTGCAGATGCGTGGGGCGGCGCGGCCTCGCGGCCCCCAGCATCGGCCACCGCCGTCTCCAGGTCTGTTTCTGGAGCCACTGGTCAGGGCACACCTGGGGACAAAGCTTGTCCCCTCAACAATTTCCACCAGCAAATCGGACGCCACAGAGATGGACAGAGACTGGGTCACCTCCATGAGGACGCGCTGAGGAGGCCCGCACCCTGGGAGCTGCCTGGGTGGCACGGCCCCATGGGGTCCAGCACACGTCCGCGGCGGCATAGGTGGCCGCTCCGTCCGCGGCTCCCACACCCAGCCCGACGCCCCAGAGGGCGCTTCCCCGCCTGGCACAGCCTCCTCAGGAGACGTCCCAGGAAAGCCATGGTTTCGACCACCCCATAGGGAAGGTCCTGACCCGGCACGGGGCTGGGCAGTGGCCTGTGTGGCCACATGCCCATGGTCCGCGCTGGCCCACCAGCAGCGCCCAGCCCGCAGGGAAGTGCAGGACGGCGCCAGGGAGCTTACTTCTCCACGGCCGAGCGCTTCTGGGACTTGGACTGGTAGTTGAGCGCCATCTTGGTCTCCATGCCCGTGTAGATGGCCACGCCTGGGGGCAGAGGGGCGTTGGGGCAGCTGGCCGGACCGCGGGGGCCCACAGGGCCTGTTTCCGGGGGTCGCACAGCTGGTGCTGTGGACAGCACACAGACCCTTCTCCTGCGTGGGACCAGCCTGCACTGGCTGTTTCCAGTGTGAGTTTTACTACGTGGGGTTTGCAGCAACAGGACACACCGGCGTCTCCTCGAAACGTGAAAAATAACAGACCAGAGACGCGAACAGCAGGAGGCAGCAAGTCCAGGCCTCCTGCAGAGCCTCGTGGGTTCCCCCGACACACCTGCTCCCCCAGGCCACTGCATGCCGCCCCCCAGCATCCCCGGGACCCGCCCCTGCGCCAGCCCCCACATCCTGACCGGCAGGAAGGTGCGACGCCAGCGGCGGGCAGCGCCCACAGCCCCGGGAGGCGCCATCACAGCCCCACTCACCAAAGATCTTCTCGGTGTTCTTCAGCGTGGCTCCCCGGAGAAGCAAGTTCTCGGACCCCAGCGGCCTGGGGAGGGCAGGAGGGGCTGGAGCGCCAGGGAGGGCGCAGACGGACCCTGCCCAGGGCCTTCCCATGGGGGCAGGGCGGGCAGGCCCCCGGGGGGAGCCCGGGCACAGCAGCATCCTGCAGGCAGCTCCAGCCCCTCGGGCCATGGGTCATCGGGGTGCCCTCCCGGTCCTCACCTCACCACGGGGTCACTCTGCGAGCTGTAGATGTTGATGCGGCCCACAAACCTGCATGGAAGAGGCATCATGGCCGCCGGATTGTCTGCGCCGGGCACGTGGGGCTCTCTCCACTCGCCCTGGGGGGCCGTGACCTCAGGGGGCCAGTGCAGGGCCTTGCCTGCACCTGTGGGAGGGGGGCCGAGCTCCCTGCAGGTGCCCCCGGCCCCTGCGGTCCCCTGACAGTCCCCCCAACCCCCGCAGCACGCACTTGTACAGGTCGGGCTGCGGCTGCTCACACTCGATGGTGGCGTGCAGCCCGTCCATGTCCTCCTCGGTGTGGAAGGCCTTGGTGTCCTGCACCGCGTAGTGGGTCTGGGGGAGAGCGCGAGTGGGACTGGGCGCCCAGTGGCCCACAGGAGCCCCGCCCCACCCAGCGGCCCCGCCCCCGCCCCGGCCCCCACAAGTGGAGTCGGCTTCGTAGTGACAGCGCTTTCCCGACGATGCCCACAGCTTCGTGGCCTCAGCCGGCGGCACAGGGCGTGGGAAGTTACACGCACTCCAGGAGCCCTTGCGAGGCCCCCCTCCACCCCGGTGCTCGGGTGCCCCCCACAGCGCATGGCTGGAGGTGGCCGTGCCAGTCCCACCCACCCACCGGGGCAGTGCTGACCTTGTGGCTGGACTCTCCGTCCAGGCTGGCGGTGGTCACGTGGCAGGTGCCGTCCCCGCGGTTGCTGGACAGGAAGATGAGGTCACAGGGGAAGGTCTCGTCCTCCTTGACCATGACGATGTCCCCGACCTGCAGGTGGGCGGTGGTATCTCTGAGGGCGTCCTGGGCCGGGCCTGCTGCATGGCCCACTGCCGCAGGCCAGGGGCTGTCCGCTCTGGGCAGGCCCCGTGTCCTGCCTGGGGACACGGGCGAGGCCTCAGGACGGAGTCAGAGAGGAGGTGCCGACAGGCACGGTCAGAGCGGGAGGGGGCATGGAGGGACATGGTTTTCAGGTTTTCCTGCCCTCCCGACATTAGGATGGCCCTGCCTCATGGGGCACCTGCCGCCGTTACGCTAAGTTGCGCTGTTTACTTCTGCCGGCCATGGCTCAGTATGGAGATATCCCCCAAGAGAAGCAGAGGCAGGAGAAGAGGCAGGAGAGAGAGAGAGAGAGAAGGGGAGAAAGGCCAGGGAAGCCCAGAGTGAAGACCTGCCGGGGGCTTGGGGGCCTGCCAGCCTCCTGCCCCCGGCACCCCCGCCTGCCGTGCGCCTGGTTGCTGCTCTACATGTACAAGCTCAATAAAAGCCCGAGAAAGCCATCGAGGGCTCCAGGACTCTGCTCCACCCGTCCGCAGGATCACAGAACCAGCTGTGCCTTCCTGCCGCTACAGGGTGCGAAGGCTGCTGGGCTGCGCCTCACAGCGCCCCATAGCACCCCACAGCACCCGGCAGTCTTTCATCCAGGAGCCCCTGCCCGCGCCCGGCTGGCACACATAGGAAGCAGCCTGACCAGAAGGGCTGCTCTGCTCTGCGGGGTGCCCTAGCCAGCTGGCCGGCCCCCGGTGGGGAGAAGGGCCTGCCCCAGCTCGAGCGCCTCAACACAGGCGACCCTGTCTCCAAAGAGGCCTGTGGGGCTCATGAAGTCCCAGTAGGGAGCTCACAGGCAGGACCAGCTTGCTCCGAGGCTCATGCTGGGGCCTGTGACCCTGGGGCCGCCGCTGTAGATGGGCCCTCGGGGGTCATCATGTGGCCAGCAGGTGGGTTCTGGGTGTTCAGGCCAGAGGCACCACCCCTAAGAGCAGGAATCTGGGAAAGCATCCAGGGCATGGGAAGGGTGGGTGGCCAGCACCCCCCACCGGGCAGGACCGACGCAGGGGCTGCAGGCTGCGTCCACACGGGACTCTCCTGACTGACAAAATCACAGGGGTGGACACTAGAGGGACGTGTCCAGCACAGCCAGACAAGGCCGGGCTCGGGAGCCTGGGGCGGGCCGCGTGGGTGGGAGTGTCAGGAGGGACAGCCAGGGGACCCACAGCCCCCCACCCCCGCCGGACTCACCCGCAGCTTGCGGCTGTGCTTGCGCACTAGCTTGCCATGCTGGACGCAGTGCGCTGGGCACTGGTTCATGGCATCATCCGCCTTGTGGCGCAGCCAGTCCTCGTAGCCCTGGGGGCAGAGGGCGGCCTCAGTGAGGGAGCTTCTGGCCCTGCAGCGCCCACGCCCTGCCCGCCCACAGCCCCGCCCTTCCCAGCCACGTTCCTGCGTCCCGCACTCTTGACTCCCATGGCCTCCGGGGCCCAGGGAGCCGGTGTGGGCCTCCCCCAGCCTGCCCTGGTGGCGATGCTGCTCCCGGCCACGCCCACTGCTGCCCGGAAGGCCCCAGGTGAGTCCCCCAGGGGGACGGGGGGGGGGCGGGGGGCTCAGGTGCCCCTGTGCTCAGACCACAGAGGATTCCCAGGCAGGGCTGGCGGCCACGCCCTCCAGGCCCCGGCGCTGCTGCCCGCGGAGCCCAGCCTCGCCTGCTTGCTCCAGCGTCTTAGCGCGAGCCAAGCTCTGTGCCCCCAGGAGCCGAGCGAGCGAACCCGAGTCAGGAGAAGCACCCGCAGCTCCATGTGCATCAGCGCTCACGGCCGCCCCAGTCTCCCCGGCTCCCCGGCACCCGGGCCAGCTCAGCCACGAGGCGGAAGACGCGGGCCTGAGCGCTCATGTCCCGTCTGGAGAGGACGCCAGGGGAGACTGGCCCCAGCGTCCTGGCGCAGGACGCGCTGACCACAGACACGGTCACGCAAATGGTTCACGTCAAAAGCAGAAACGGGCCGTCTCTGACAGCTCGTCCTGGGAGATGCGGAGTCCAAGGACATGAAGGCTGCTCTCCGGAAGGTTGTGCCAAGAGGCCGACGGCCGCTGCAAAGGCCTCAGCGTCCTCAGGCCAGGGAAATGGGGCTAAGCCCGGAGGGCCAGCAAGGACGTGGGTGACCGGGACCCCACACACCCTGGGGTCCCCCAGGGACAGGCTGGCAGGTCCCGGGGAGGTCCCCAGAACGGGTGGCTGGCAAGAAGTCATGGGTAGTGCACCAGGGAGTGCAACTGGCCGTCAGGAGGACAGCAAGGCAGGCTGCGGCCACAGGAGGAGAAGACCTGGACACCGGGAACCGGCCTGGTGCTTCCGGGGAGCTGCCTGGGGCAGGGGCAATGGGGCGAGGTGACAGGGATTTCCAGGACTAGATAAACCGGGAGTGGATGGGGCAGCCTTCTCGGTGCTGCTGGTCACTGGCCTCTCTCACCAGGACCGAGCCAGGTCCCGTGGCGGGTGCCCACGCTCCCAGAGGACCTCGCCCGCCAGCACGCGTGCAGGGGACGGTGGGGCCAGAGCGTTTAGCTCACCCCCGCCTGCCCCTCCAGCTCTGGGCGCCTGCTCCAGGCTCGCGGCGGCACCGCCCAGAAGGGGCCAGTGCTCCCGCGCGGAACAGCAGAAGGCGGCCGCTGGAGCCCCCAGCTCCGCCTCCAGCCCCACCTGCTTGATGGCGGTGACGGTGATGACGAAGAACAGGGGGAGGCCGCTGGTCACCGGGCTGGTGGGTGTGTCGATGATCAGCTGTAATCAGAGCGCGTGTCCGGAGGCCGCCCACCCGAGGGCAGCCTGGGCGCCCGGCCCAGGACTCCTGCCCTGCTGCCTCCTGAGTCACTTCATTCGGACAATCTGACGCGGACACTCGATGGCCCTCCACTGCCCCCACTGCTCTCCAGCCCCTTTGTTCCACTCTCTCCATCCTTGCCGTGGTGTCCCCCCGGGGCGGGGGGGAGGGCCTGGGCAGGGGCAGGGCGGGGGCCGAGGGTGGGCAGGGCGGGTGGTCAGCCCCATTCTGGCACCAGAAACGTTCACCCTCAGGGAAGAGAAATGGCAGGGCGAGGCCCGCGCTCTGGCCAGCGCCCACAAGGGGCCTCGAGCGCGCACTGACCGGGGGGAGGGAGGCGCCTCACCTGGACCAGGAATATGATGAGGAAGTAGAAGTTGGCTATTCTCCGGAACTGCTCGAACAGGTTCTTGGGTATGAAGTTCCAAAACGTGTACTGGACAAAGGAGGAACGAAGGCCCGCGTCACGTGCCCGGCCACGGCGCTGCCCGCCCCGCCCGCGGCCCGCAGGACGCTCGCATGGATCGTGGCCCCGAGCTGGTGCCTCTGCTTCCGCTGTGCGGGCGGGGTCCCTCCCGGCAACCTGCGCCCACCTGGGGGCCCGTCCAGGCTCCACTGGACGGATTCCCGCTCGGGCTCGTCCTGGTGACGGGTCCCGGGGCTAGGACAGCGTCACGACTTGGACCATGCAATGGGAGCGGCTTTGACGCCAGGGACGGGCTGCCAGCACACGCGGGCCCGCACACGCACACAGGCCCGCGTGTGTAGTCACACTCAGATGTGCACGCACATGCACACGCACACAAGCCTTCCCCCGTGTCCGAAGGGGCGGGCATGTCACTGGTTCCGAGCCCCCCTCTGGCTCGACTTTTCAGTGTGCCCGAAGGAGGAGCCTCCCTAGCGCCCATGCAGGCAACAGCGTCCAGGAGACGGGGCAGCAAACACGGCCTGGAGACGCCTCAGGTCCACGCGGCCTGCTTGAGCCGTTCACAGACGCGGGAGCGGAGCTGCCAGGCCTCGCCATGGAAAGAGGGTGCGCAGGCCACGCTGCCCGGCGGGGGTTCCTGAGGATGTGCCGGAGCCCACGCCGGCCACCACGCGGGCCCGCAGGGGCCTCCAGTCCGCGGTCACGGGCGTGTCTCGACTCCTCCTTGGCTTGGCTCCTGCCGAGCTGAGCCCGCCGGCCCGCGGCCACGAAGAGGAGCCTCAGCGACGACCTTGCACTCGTGTTCCAGGGACGCTCGCCAGGTCGACCTCGCCGCCGCGGCCAATGCCTTGGGTGTTGCAGCCAAACCCACACGGTTTCAGGCTCTCGAGTCACGCAGATGGCCGCAGGGCCTGTCCACGCGGGCGAAGGGTGGGATCCCAGGCGGATGAAGCCCCAGCTGCTGACCACGCGCCCACCAGCTTTCGGGCACATGGCAAGAACAGCGAGGCCCCGGGCAGAGGGCGCCCGGTCACGCTGCCAAGGAACGGTCCCGGGAACGCCCCGTCCACTGCAGGCCCACCATGGCCACCGCTGCGTCCCTGCCCGTGTCCCTGTGTCTCCGCACTGGCATGTCCCTGGTGCACGTGGGGCCTCACGTCCCAGAGCCGCAGCCGAGCCCCAGGGCGGCACAGAGCTCCAGTCCCGCTCGGGCCAACCAGCCTCTGCTTGTCTGCATCACCAGCAGGTCGTTATTTCTTGATAACCAACTCACGTGAAATCAGCAACCCTTGTGAAAAGGATCCATTAACCTCACTCCGAGCCCTGGTCCTCACCACAGGGCCCAGTGTCCGCCCTGCCCTGTCTGCTCTGGTCTTGTCTCGGCTTCCATGACTGCTGGCCATGTGGCGTGTGCCGGCAGCTGAGCCCACTGCCAGGGACGTGCTGACGGGCACTCAGAGGCACTCTGGCATCCTGCTCCTCATGCTGTCAACAGGCAGCGGCCGGGACGTCTACCACGATGCTCCTGCGCTGGACCCAGTGGCCCCCCCCTCCATGGCCCCCAGCCAGTGTCCGCCAAGCACTGATGCTACAGACCTAGGGAACACCATGGCAGGCTTCGGAGAGGCTGCGCTGGCACTGTGGAGAGGCAGTGCTGGCACTGTGTGCAGGCTGTGCTGGCACTGTGGAGAGGCCATGCTGGCACCATGAGGAGGCTGTGCTGGAACCATACAGAGGTTGTGCTGGCACTGTGGGGAGGCTACGCTGGCACCGTGGAGAGGCTGAGCTGGAACCATGCAGAAGCCATGCTGGCACTGTATAGAGGTTGTGCTGGCGCTGTGGAGGCCGTGCTGGCACGGTATAGAGGTTGTGCTGGCACTGTGAAGGCCGTGCTGGCACTGTATAGAGGTTGTGCTGGCACTGTGGAGGCCGTGCTGGTACTGTGGAGAGGCTGTTTTGGCACCCCACAGGGTACAGGGCCAGGGTCAGGCACGAGGTTCAGAGTGGTCTCATCTGCTTCATTCTGGGCCTTAGTTCCTTCAAGAACAAGCTGGCAGTGGCCCCACAGGGTGGTGAGAGCTGACATGGCAAGGTTTAGACAGTGCCTGCTGCTGACAGAGGGGCAGCTGCCCCACCCAGGAGGGTACAGGTCAACCAGCTTTGTGAGGGATGCAGCAAGGCCAGCGCCGGCCACCCCTGTCCTCATGGAGGCTGGGTGCCTCAGGGGCAGTCGTGGGCTCGAGGCTCGCCCCCCGGACCAGGTCTGTTGTGGGGGGACAGGAGACGGCACTGCTGGGAGGCATTTCTGGCTTCCTGTTCAAACATCCCCTGCCAGTGTGTCCCCAAGAGATAAGAGTCGGTCCCCGGGGATGCCGGTGCAGATAGTGCTGGCCCTGCCCATCGAGACGCAGCCAGTCCTCTGTTTTGGAGCAGAGGTGCTGAGCGCGAGGCAGCTCAAGAGCTTCCAGGATAGAAATAAAAGTTTCCTTCCCAAGAAAACAGGTTTGCTCATAGGCATGTTCTCCAGACCTGTTTGCAAATACAGGCTTTAGAAGTCGACCTGTGTTTCTCATACATCTGGAGCTGTTTGTGCAATGACTGTGGAAAGTTCTAGATTCCACATCGATTCATCCAAGTCAAAACCCAGTGATGGCTGGACTGGAAGACGGGTCCTCGGAGGGGCCCCGGCAGGAGGCTGTCTCCTCCAGGCCAGCCGGCAGGTGCCTCCGAGCAGGGGGACTCCCTCCCGCTGGTTCTACCCGACAGCCCGGGAAAGGCCCCGGGAGCTGCGTCCCGGATTCCGGCCCCAGCACGGCCTCTCAGTCAGAGATGCAGGCACACAGCCAGCTCCGGGGTGAATGTGGGGGCGTGAGGGGCCGTGTCCAGGCAGCAAGGAGGCCCGGCAAACAGGAGAATGGCGGGTGCTGGTGGAGCTCCACGGGGGCACCTCAACACCAGCCACGGGTCGCGGGGTATTGTAAGTGGAGAGCGCGAACCAGTGGCTGGCTCTGAGGTGTCCAGCGGCTGACTCAGGGGTCGGGAGAGCAGCCCACGCTGCCCCCTCGTGCTGTGGGTGTCAGGACAAGTGCAGCTGCGGCACAATGTGGCCGGGGTTGGCAGGGGGCCGGGCCTTCTAGGGTCCAGGCTGTGCAGGGGGACGTTGCAAAGGTGATTGATCAACTCAAAATGGATAAAAGACTTGACTGCGAGACCTGGAGCCATGATGCACAGAGCAGAGAACAGACACAACACCCAGGACACACGCTGCAGAGACGCCTTTGAGGACTCAGCTCCAGGGGCAAAGAAAATGAAGAAGAAGATGAACAGCTTCCTTCCAGCAAGAGAGACGACAACCAAGGCGCAGAGCCGGCCTGCTGACGGGGAGAGGACATTTGCTCTCCTTATAACCGAGAAGGGCGCGATCAGGCATCCACAAGGATCTCACCCGACGCAACAAAAACACAGCCAACGACCCAGTCAAGACACGGGCGGGAGAGCCGCAGAGACGCTCGTGCAAAGAGGAAACGCAAACGGCCCACGGGTGGACGAAACGCGCTCGTCGCGGATAACCAGGGACGTGCAAATCAAAACCACGCGAGACCCCACCCCACCCCCACGGCCGGGAGCACGGCGCGGCCCGGAAACACCAGGGCGACTGCCGGCGAGGACGTGGCGGAGGGAGCCCGACGCCGCCGGGGGCGCAGACCGGCCCGGCCTCCTCGGAGGGCCGCGGGGACGCCCCTCAGGCCACTGGACATGGAGCTACCCCGACCCCGCGGCTCCACTCCCGGAGTCTCCCCCAGACACACACCGCTCGTTGGGGAGGAAGCCCGCGCGCCTGCGCTCACCGCAGCGCTGCTGACAACCGCCGGGACCTGGCGACACCCCGAAATGCCCCGGCCGGGGGCTGGCTCAGAAGACCGCGCTCTGCGCCCCCGGAACCCTCCTCGGCCCTCCACAGAGACGCGCCGCCCGCAGCAGCAGGGACGAGCCGGCGCGAGGACGCTCCGTGGAAGGAGCCAGAGAGAGAAGCGCGGACGGCCTCGCCGGCGGGAGGAGCACAGGGAAGCTGAACAAGGGGTCGGGGGAAAAGACAAAACTCACAGGCAAACTAGAAACCGAGACATCAGGGGTCCGGGGCATTTTACCGAGGGGAGGAATCAAACATTCTGCACAAATGCTCACTGTTGCGAGAAGGGATGCGCGTCAGTTAAACGTCACAACAAGTAACTCATTTCATTCCCCGAGGGAGAAGGCAGCGAGGGCTCCTCCCCCGGGCGGCTCCAGGCCGGCGCTCGCCGCCGCCACGAAGGCCTGCGAGGACCCGTGTCCGGGGCGGGCGCCCGGCCACTGCCGCGAGCCCCGGCGGCCACGACGCCCGTCCGGCGGGTTGGCCTGGGGTAACGTTGCCTCCGGGAGGCTCTGGGTGGAAGCGACTGTTCTTCTGCGTCACCCACAGCTCGCGGAGAGACGCCTCAGCGAAAGGTCCCGGGGCGGAGGGCTGCGCTTTCCTCTGTCCAGTGTCCTTGCCGAGCGCCCCTCAGCCCGGCGGCCGCGGCACACAGAGGCCGGAGCGCGGCACCCACCCTCACGCCCGGGCTCACACCTGGACAGCAGCGCGTCCCCTCTGCTCCAGTCAGCCAGGCGCTGCCCCGTCGCCGGGGCCCACAGTCCTTCCCCACGTGCGCATTGGGCTCCCCCAGACGACAGCCCCGCCCCCCGCCCCACCCCTGACACCCCGTGTCTGGTGTCTCTCTCTCAGCCACTCCAGGAGAGGGCCCCTGGGGGTCAGCGGCCGAGGCCCAGGCAGGAGGCCTGGATCTGGGGCGGGGCAGGTGCAGCCCATAGTCCAGGCTCCGGCCGGCCAGCGGGGCCTACCTTGGAGGACACGATCCTGTTGTCGGGGAACCGCTGAGGGATGTAGGCCTCGGTGCCGGGCGGGGGCTCCTTGTGTCCAACGTAGACTGTCCGGCTGTCCACCCAGTTCTCCTCACCCGTGCACTGCAAGACACGCGGGCATGAGGGCCGCACCCGGGGGCAGGAAGGGGCCCCCCCCCGTGCCAGTGGGCCACGGCCTCAAGCCCGCCGGGTGCCGAGACCCTGCTCCCGGGCCCCGGCTCTGAGCGGGGTCAGGGAGTGGCCGGTGCGTCATGCAGGTCAGTGACAACGTGAAGCCAGCGGCCTCCACAGAGCAGGCCAGTGGGGGTCAGAACCCTGGGGAGGCCTTGAGTAAACCAGGAGAAACCGAGTCCTGAGCAGGCCCCGTTCAGGGTGTCGGTCGGGTCTCGGTGCTTGGGGCGCCGGGCACAGCCCCCAGGGCCGCCCCTGCCGGCAGAGCCGGGGACAGGCAATGGCTGAGGCCCACGGGGTGAGGGATGACCTCCCGGGCATGAGGGCCAGAGAACGTCCCTCACAGGGGGCGGGGGGGGCACCAGCGGGGACTTGGGGGCCAGAGAACGTCCCTCACATGGGGGGGCACTAGCGGGGACTTGGGGGCCAGAGAACGTCCCTCACACGGGGGGTGGGCACCAGCGGGCTGGCCAGGGCGGCCACACGAAAGTGCCAGAGCAGAAGCTGGCTGGTGTCCCCCGCAGTCAGGGCTGGAGAGTGGGCAGGGGTGGCGGGCGGCGTCCACATCCCGCGTGCAGGGAGATGCAGAGAGGGGCCTCCGCTCCCCCAACTGCGGGTGCTGACCACACGCTGAGTACCCGGGGCTGCGGCCTCTGCTGACAAGAGGGTTTTAAGCCCCTTTCTGCGCTGTTTCCACGCTGGGCGCCCGGGGCTGGCTGGGAGGCCGCGAGAGGCAGCCTGGCCCCGACTAGGAGTCGCCCACATGTCCGAGGTCGCTTCTCGGAACAGGCAGCTGCCGCGTGGTCACAAAGCTTAAAGGTGACCAAGACCCAGCGGTCAGGGGGCGCGGGGGGCCCTTGGCTCTGCCCGCAAGTGTCACAGGCTGCACCCCTCCTGCGCTGGGCCTGGTGGCTTCTGTCCATTTGCAAAAAGTTGTAGCGACAGCGGCGCGGGGGACACACTCTCTAAGAAAAGCGTGTCTTGGCAGCACTGCCCGGCTCCTCCGCCTGCAGGTCTTGGCACGACCGCTGGGCAGAGCGGGCGCAGCCCGAGGCCACTCAGCGTCTGCCCCGCCTGCCAGTCCCCGCCTGCCTGCCCTGGGCCTCTCCCTGCAGGACCCGCGATTCTCCGGGCAAAAGGCCATGGCGAGCGGGTGGCCCCGTGCACCCAGACACCCTCGCACAGCGCAGACACCCTCGATCCCCGGAGCAGGTGCCGCTGGCCTGCACCCCCAGCCCCACCGCCCCCTCCCCCCTTCCTGCCGCGCCGCTCCGCCCTCCAACAGTTTTCATTGGGCCGGTCAGCGCCACTTAGGAAGCTTTAAAAACATGAACAGGGCCTCCCCGGTGGCGCAGCGGTTGAGCGCTGGGTTGTGAAGCTGCCCGCAGCCTCTGCGGCGCCGGTTCGATCCCCGGCTGCTCCCCGGCCACCGGAGGAGGGTCCCGCATGGCCGCAGACCTCTCCTGCCGCCCGCTGCTCCCCTCAGCAGTGTACTTCGGTCCTTCTGCCTGCTCTGCTCCCCGCTCTGGCTCTGGTGAATCCTCTCACCCTCCCGCGCTTCTGACTGTACCCAGTGCTTGTGTAAATAAATCTTTAAAAAAAAAAATAAAAACACGAACAGCCAAACACAAGCCTGACTGGAAACAAGCAAAGCATGTGGATAGATGCGGGGGCCACCAACAGGCCGAGACGGGCAGCAGCAGGACACCCACTCTGGGGGCCCACGCCAAAGCCCCAGCCCGGCCGCAGGGTGGGGCCGTGCCCAGGGGAGGCAGGTGCTGGGCGGGCGGGGCTGCTGCAGGCCCTCCACAGTGACCCCGTCCCCCAACCCCGTGCTCATCCACAGGCCGAGCCTGGGCCTCTGCACCCAGAGCAGCCTGGACACCAGATGGCACCTGTCCAGCAAGGACATCTGATGGGTGTCCAGGGGTGGCCGTGCCTGGGGACAGGTGCCCTGGGGTCGCCTCCTCTCCAGGCCCCTCCCCCGGGGGCCAGCTCCAGGACGCAGCCTGGGGCCCGGGAAGGCTGGGGCTCCCCGTCCCGCGAGTAGGCCCATGTGCCCACACTCTGTCCACGTGGCTGACTGACTGCAGGCTTGGGGCCCGCCGAGCACCCCTTTATCGGAGCCCGGTGGCTGGCACCTGGCCCTCGTGGGCTTCTGCCACCCAGAGGCCGGGCTGTTCCACACAGAGCTGCCTGCCAAAGGCCAGGCTCCCTTTTCACGTAGAATGCCCTGCCCTGAACTGCTGCCTGAGTATAAGGATGCCCCGGCAGGTGCCCCCGGGGTCTTCAGGCCCCTTCCAGAGCGCAGTGGCCAGGCTGGCGACAGGGTCAGGTGTGCCCGGGCTGAAGGTGCCCTCCGGGGCGGCATGCGGCCCCCCCACCGCCAGGGCACCCACCCCGGGGGCCCCACACTTCCTCAGGACGCACTCCAGGCCAGGCGTCAACGAGGAGGAGCCGCAGATTGACGCACCCTCTCGCAGACTGACGCACCCTCTCCGTAGCTCAGAGCACCTGACCAAGTGCCCCAGGCGCCCCCACCCCCACCCTGGCAGCCAAGCTGTGAGGCCGGAAGCCTGGGAGGCCGGGAGGGGAGGCAGGAAGACAGGGAGGTGGGGAAGTGGGGAGGCCGGGAGGCAGGGAGGCGGCGGGGCCAGGAGGCTGGGACAGCAGGGCTCCCTGCAGGCAGGCTGGCAGCTGCACCTTCGTGCACAAGCACCAAGGCTCAGCCTCCATTCCTGCTCACACGTTTCCTTCTGATTTGGTAAAAAAGCTGATTTTATTTCTCATTTTGTATTTTGTCTCCAGCCAAGCCTGGGCAGGGCACGTGTACATCTGGGGTCCCGTGCCCCAGCCCCCACAGGGCAGTGGGGTGCAGTCCAGGGCACACACACACCCCGATCCCAGCATCTCCACACACGAGGGTGTCTGGGGGGCAGGGGCGGCGGAACCTGGCCGGGGGCACTGGCCCACTCGCCCGCTGAGTCGGGAGGCCGCCGCCCCCGGACAGCAGACTCAGCTCCCTAAACTGTCCCGGGGCCGCAGGAGCGGCCGATTACTGTGGTTGGCGAAAGCAGGCAGGCCCAGGGCCTGGAGGGGGCGGGGAGCCCAGGTCTGAACCCAGAAGCTGCCGGGAATTCTGCCTGGGATCGCAGCCTGCCCCCATGATCCATCCCAGGCAACAGCCCAGGGCCTTCCCCACTCCCTGCCCCTCCTGCCCCCGGGACAGCCGCGCCTCCAGCTGGGCTGGGGGGGGGGCGATGCCTGCAGGCAGCGGGTGCTGGGAGTCAGCTGTGGCCTGAATTGGCAGGGGCGGTTGAGGGGGGGCCTGGCTCAGGGGCTGGAAGAGCAGGCAGGGTGGGAGCGGCTGCCCGGCAGGTCCAGTGCCAGGTGCCTACCTCCTGAGGGGCCAGCGACGGGCACCTGGCCTTCAGGGGCGGGGTCAATGGGCATCGCAGGAAGCAGCATCAGCAGACAAGCAGCGGGAGGCAGGTGTGGGCCCCCGGGCCCTGGCCATGAAGGGGACAAGTGTGGCCCAGCTGCCCCTAGACAGCCGGCCCTGAGGGCCTCGCGCTGCACTAGCCCAGACACAGGGGCGTCGCGTGGGGGGCCCGGTGCATCCTGCAGGGCCCCGTCCCGGTTGAGAGGAGACAGTACGGCCCACAGGGCTCTGTGGGGGCAGAGTCCCTGCTCTGGCCTCATGTCGCCCTGTCCACAGCAGCTGCAGCGGCTCCGGCCCAGGCCCCTGCCCAAGGCCTGGTCACACACTGGGGGATCTGCACAGTGTGGTTCTCTATGGGGGGTCTCAGTGGCTCCCTAGAAGCGCCCCCATCCCCCCAATGGTGGCAGCAGGGTGTGAAGGCGCAGATCTGAAAGGTGGCACCCGCCTCCCATGGGGACGGGTGGGCCACGCTCCAGGCCTGCAGGCCAGGGCAGCTGCCCACGGGCCAGGCTGGCAGACCCCGGCGCTGAGTCTCCCTGGGGGACAGGAGGACAGCCAGAGGCTGGGCTGGGGTGGAGGCTCTGGGAAGAGGGCACATCTAGAGACAGACGGTGGCACCCCCCTCCCCCTGGTGTGCCGGGCGCCCCAGCCTGAAAGGCTTTTCTCAACGCCCCAGGGCTGGAGCGGAGATAGAGGCCGTGGGGGGCAGCCCTGGAAGCAGAGGACAGGGTGGCCTGTGGCCTTTTCCTGATGGGAGCAGCAGTCGCTGCCCCTGCTGTGCCCTGGAAGCCTGTGGCCTCGGCCCTCCAGGGCACGGTGGTGGACAGGCCTCCCCCTGACCAGCTCACGCCTGCGAGCAGAGGCCCCGCCCCCTCCCAGCCAGGCCCCCCACAGGAGGTTCCGCCCCTTATCTTCAGAAGTTGGGGCGCAAGATCCCGGTTAGCGCCGGTGCTCTCCACACAACTGTCCCAGAAGAGCCCAGAGGGGACCCCCCACCCCTGCAGTGGGGACAGGGCTGCACCCCTCCCTGGGAAAGTGGGCGACCCAGCTGGGCAAAAGGCCGTGGGAACCGCCCTCAAGGAACCCCAGAGGGCCGCCAGCCACCGGGGCAGGTTTTGGGGTGTGGGAAGCACTGCAGCAGGAAGCTGGACACTCGGGGGCGGGGGCACCCCACCTGGCCAGGCTGGTCCCCCAGGGGGGCTGGGACAGGATCCCCTTTCCTGTCTGCTCGGAACTAGTCCTGGGGAGGCCCTCTCCTCCGCCCCAGAGCCAGCACCCCTGCACCCACACTCTCCACCAGGCTCCACGACCCAGGGGGATTCTGAAGACCCCCACTTTCTGCCACCTCCAGAGTGAAAGCAAAACCCCAGACATAGGGGTGGGGGGCAGGCCCCTAAATCCCCTCCTGCTCCCCTCTTCCCTCCCGGTCCCCCTCCTCACTGGGAAGACGTGAAACCCCACCTCAAGCAGCGGCTCCTTCTCCCCTTTG